CCTATGTCCTTGCCTCACATACACCTGCCTCAGCCACGCTTTCATCATCTCCTCATCCATCCAGCTCTTTCCATTTGCCTTAATATGTCATCAGAGCGCTGTGTCTGTCTTGCTGTCAGCTCCCAGATCAGCTTCTCTGATTCGTTGATGCGGCGCTTCCAGCAGCAAAACTTCAATTTATCCATCTCGAGCAGCAGCAGCGCGTTGGCGGCGCGCTCCCGACGCGCTGCGCCTGCTGCTCAAAACGCGCTGCGGGACCTTTTGCTGCACCTATAGCGCGTCAACCGTTGACTTTGCATGTAAACTCGCTGCTTCTGCTGCACCTGCTGCGTGCGGTTCACAGCGAGCACAGCATTAATTTGTTTCACCATGTTTTTCACATCAGCTGTGAGATGGGCACGCATGTAGTCAGATTAACATCGATGGTGTGGTGATGAGTGGAAAAAAACCCACCTGGTCTCCTTACATTCAGCCACTCTTTCATCATCTCCTCAATGAGGTGGTCTCAAAAGTCGCAGTTGCAACACACATAGGGCGCACCGCACCAAAGGGCGCACCGCACATTTTGAGGGAAAAAAAAGACGTTTATGTGCGCCTTATAGTCGTGAAAATATGGTAAATCTGATAAAAAATCTGTACCAAAAACTGCAAAGCTATTAAATAAGTATCCATAAAATATCTATCAGTCTTCTTCCGCAAAAGGAAAGGTCAGATCCTGGGGGTAGCAGCCTAAGTAGGGAGACCCAGACTAAATCACGAGCTTCGGCTTTTGACTCAGCTCTCTCTTCATCAAGACAGACAGATACAGTGACCGTCTCACTGTAGTTGCCCTCCTGCTCCATTCTTCCCTCATTCCCTCACAAAAACGAGCCACTAGTGCTGCAAAAGCTTGAAAAAAAAAAAAAGAAATTAAATAAATAAATTTAACTTAATTCTAACACTTTATTACAACCACCTTATTTGTGCTTGTGCATTAATGTGAATATTGTTCAGGTAGAAATAGAGTGGCTGATAAATTATCTGTACTTATTTATTAACTTTTCAGGTCAGAGGACTCCAAAGCTTTCACTACATTCAGTCACTCATCCGTTAGCATACACATTCCAATTTAAAGAGTTTTAGTACAGATTGACCAGTCTTGGGGGAAACATGTTAATTGTAATACAAACTAATTTGTGAAATTCAGTCTGAGTGATTTTCATTTAGTTGGAAAAAATTTTTTTCTTAGGAAAAATTAGAATTTCTGTGGTGTGTATATAACCAATGCTTACATGTCTTTGCATTAATGAGTTCCGGTTCACTTGGTCCTGCTGAGTAGAAGGCCGTCACTTGGACAGTGTACTCTGTCCCACTCAAAAGATTGAGAAGGACAACGGAGGTCACATCTTCACCTACAGTTGTCTCCGAAAGTGGACCTTGATCTAAAGAAAAAAAAACAAAAGCAAATAACTACATAAACAAAGGCAGAGCAGAAACGAATCTCCCACAGAAAAATGTACTTTATAGATTCCTGAATGTATAAAAATACTATATAAATATATATATAAATATAAATATATAAATCCAAAGCACTCTATATGGTGTGAACGAAAGGAAATATTACGAATTTTAATCATGGAAAAGAAGAGTTTAACACCTAGAATAAATATATGAGTCACAAAAGACAAATACATCAGAATATGAATGGGACCAACCATCTAAAGAACTTCCAAAAGCAGTAAAATCATAAGCAAATACCAGGCTAAATAGCAGACCTTCAAATCCTCTTTTTGAAAGGATCCAGTGAGTCAGCCAAAACAACCCTGGGGGCATGTTGACGCAATGCTCCAGGGTCACAATTTGAAAGGCTTGATCAAATTTTATTCTCTATTTGCTTGCTTAATAGCTGACGAGGTTTGATTCTTAAAACAAAATTAGCAAGCAACTAAAATTTTTTTTCCCTAAGTTTCTGTGCCAGCACCAGACTATTATGTACTTTTTTACATTTTAAAATAACCCCAAGATCAAATAATTGAATTCAAAACAGGAGTTATATGCACATGCTTTTGCAAATGTGTTAATAAACAGGCTGCAGAATAGCTAAGGTGGAAAACAAGTCGCATCATTTTCTGGATTAGAGGAGAGAGAACACAAGTTGGACAACTATATAGAAGATACTGATTAGAGGATGGATTTAAAATATAAAAAATAAGACTAGGTTGAAATTTAAAAAAATACTGCCAATGTTACGAATCTTGGACTTTGTAGGCATAAAGAAAGAGATAATTTCTTGAATAATGTGTAAGAATATTTCAGCAGGGGATATTCTCAATGTTTATTTTCAGTTTGAAATTAAATGAAGTCAATTATAAGCCAGTTCTTTAATAGTGGATTGCTTTCAGTAGCTGTGCTCATCATTTAAGTCACAGCATTGTGGTTTAGCAAGAAATAGAAAAGGTATTTCTTTGCCTCTTGAGAAATGAATGCCAGAATTATAAAACTCCTGGGGAAACCTGTGTGACTCCTTAAAAAAAAAAAAAACTTGCTAAAATTAATGAGTTACGGCTATTATGTTAACAACAGGCAGTTGAGCAATTCTAATGAGATATAGAATGGTTATGTCTCTGCCAACACACCAACAATTTTTTATTCAGTTTAATATGCTCTAACTGCATAATGTGGGAGAAATAGGTCTTAGACCTGTCTTTTTTTCCCACTCATCTTTCCGATGATAAACTTTATGTAACATGTTTGCCTTGAGCTGGTGCTCTGTCACACAATAGCTGTTTTTAGGTTAGAAACTGTAAAACACTACATCCATGCCTCGGTAAAGCAACTGACACCAAGATGCAAGGCAGATCCAATAAATTGGGCATTTAATGAGGTTTCTAGAAAAGAAATAAATGAGTAGGTAAGATGTCTCTATTTCAGTGCTGCACTGCTGGGGCTTTTCTTTAAGCTTTAAGCTGTTTTTTGTTTTTGATTCTTCCTCTCTGTCCATCTGCGTGGACATGCTTTTGTTACATTAAGAGGATTGTGCAATCCTATTGTGTCATTTTTTTGTTAAATACAGTATGCTCCATTGTGGGGGCTTCTAGATATTTATGGGGCCATTCCACTGGTTCCCACAAGGAACGGTTTTCTTCTTTGATTTAGGGTTAGGTCTAAAGTCCGAATTCAGATTAGGTTAGGGTTAAGTATATGTTGGTAAAGTCATGGTTAGGATAAGGGTCTGGGTTAGGTCAGAGAAATGAATAGAAGTCAATGATAAGCCCCCACAAAACATGAAAGGCTAGTGTGAGTGGCTAACCATACACTTACACTGGGTGTAAGTCAGTCTGGCACGGCTTAGGGTCTCCAGTCAAAAACAGACTGGACAAATCATAGCATGGGATGGGGGGGTTTGTGTCAGAATTACCCATAATGCAACAGTGCTTTCTTGTAACTAGAACAGTCAAGATTGTAGTGGCAACAGAGCAATTTTACCTCGCGAAGGAGCTGGATATACCTTTAAAATAAAAAAAAACTAGCTGCCGTAAGTGTTTTTAGAGATTTATTGAGCTTTAAGAGCTTTTCTTGTTAAAAGGGATAACTTACATAGACTTATATCTGTTGTTATTTGATTGGTTCTGACCTGTTTGCTCTGATTCTGTCAGTCCTGCCTTTGAAATCAGGCTCTACATGCTCCTTGGCAGACTGATACACTTTGTAAAGGGCATAAGTCAATCCAGCTGGCCAGGCTAAGTGTTAGGTATCCATTTGTAATGGTTAGGGTTAGAGTTATTGTGAATGATAAACATATAATGGGTTGAAAGTTACTTAAAATCATTAGAAGTCAATGCAAGACAACAAATGTTCATTACTAAGGATAGCAAAATGAGAATGTATATGTGTGCGGGTTTATGCATGTATACCATAGACTGGTCGATAGACAATCCTGTAACCTTCTGTTGGAGACTGAGGCGGATCCCAGGAGACCAGGAAGCGGTTATACGACTCTTCTGACACGCGTAGATTTTCAGGAGGCAAGAGAGGCACTACCAAAATAACAACAAAAAAGATACCTTTAATGGCATACTAGGGAGGTCAGCATGGTTTCTGATTGTACACAGTTGGACTTTGTGCTGAAGGTGATCAAAAAGTCCCTAAAAATTTATTTTACTGAGTCTTTGAACATACCTATATGAAAAATAAGTTCTTATTTTCTAGTCGAAAACATTATTCAATTTTAAATATTTCAAAGGTTTTTTAACAAAGGAATATTTAATGGGACATTTCCAGAGAGAAAATATGCAAAGGTAAGCAATGATTCTCAGGTAGCTGATGTTTGCTGGTGTGAATTTGTGGCTTCAGCAAAGGAGAAAATAGGTTGTTGGATTTCTTATATTATTTGCAGAAGGGCTGAAAAACGGTATTCTTAAGTGTCATATAACTAGAGGGTGTGGGTGGAGAATGGCAAAAGAAGAACATTCTAAGTTGTTTTGCTGACATAAATAATTTCCTTCTGACACAAACACAGCAAGGCTTCAAATAATAACTACAATGATGTTAAACTTTCCAGTCTCTCGATTTAAAGTGATTTTAACCCTCAAAGAGTTTTCAAATAATATGTCAATGCTCTCATTTAATATTAAAGCCTGAGACTACAAATGTTATATTTAATTTATGATTGATTATGGCACCCTAATCTTTAAAGATGGCATGTTTAATGTGACATTTGATTTCACAGTATAACAAAGAAACAATCAGTGTTTAAAATATGATGGATAATGGTAAAGGAAATCAACTGAACTAATTCAATTATTTTATTATTATAGAATCTCCTTCAACAATAAGGCATCCTTATTAAGACAATTAGGATAGCATCAGTATTTCTCAATGTAATTCATTTTCTCCACCAGGCACATAAATTACCATCAATTTTATACACAGTAACTTTCTGCTTAGGGAAAATAAATTCTGAATCAGGATGTTCTCAGAAACCAAAACCCACATCGTTTTTTGTACAGAAAAACCTTGAAATAACTTCACTGGTCAATTAAAAGCTTGTATGAAAATAAAACTTGATCTAAAAAAGAAAAAAGAAAAGAAAGAAAAGAAAATAATTATTTCAGAGGTAAGCTGTTTTACTATACTACAAAAATCATATTATTTATGTATCAAAAACTTTCACTTTTTTTTTTTGGCATGAGGATCTGCATAAAATTAGTGGGGGGAAAAAACAAACATATTTTAAAGACTAGTCAAACTTGAATGGAAAATAAAACACNTACAGAAAAACCTTGAAATAACTTCACTGGTCAATTAAAAGCTTGTATGAAAATAAAACTTGATCTAAAAAAGAAAAAAAGAAAAGAAAGAAAAGAAAAATAATTACTTCAGAGGTAAGCTGTTTTACTATACTACAAAAATCATATTATTTATGTATCAAAAACTGTTTATTCAACAGTATTTACAAACAGTAACATTGATATTGGCACTTTTTAAGGTTAAAAAAACTCCACATTTTTACAGTTCTACAACAAATAATTGGACAGGTCTGATTATTCAGATTCTGCATGATTAGGGAATGCTTGCAACATTTAACTAGCTCTTTCACCAAGAAAAGAGCTGTGAGCTGAAACATTAAAACTGATAACAAAACATTCATTTAATGTATTTTATTTGCCGAGGAGGGAGACTGTGACACTCTTACATGAAAACATGTAACAGCACTAATAGAAATGGACCAAATTATGGCTAATTTTTTTATTGGTTGTCACACATAAAAATATCAAAGTGAAAGAAAAAAACAGCTTGATAAAATGCATCACAAAAGAAACAGGGAAAGAAAATTTCAAAATTTCAGTCATGAAATGACATATTGTCATGTTAAAATTGTCAGTGGCTGATGCCATTCATTAACAGGTAATGGCAGAACTAGCTTTTTGCTTTGTGGGTTAGACTTTTAATTGACTGGAAATCTGCAGCAGACTTCACCTCTGCTGAATCAGGTTCTCTTAACGTCAAAGTCCAGTAAAAGGAAGTTGTAAGTTTGTCCCCGTCTGCTGTAGGCATCTCAGCATGTCTGAACATGTCACCATTTGGTCTACTATGTGCTCACTGTGGGAGGTCCCCATAAAGAAGCAGCAAAAACAGGTGGTTGGAGGCACTTACTAACATTGTTAACATGGCTTAATCAAATATTATGCTTACAGTATACCAAAAGAACAAAAAAACATATATTCCTGATGAAATAAAGCAATATACTTAGGATTTCCTAAAAGCGCGTTCACGAGTCTACAGAAACCGCGGCAGACCAAACCAGATGAAAGTGCGCATTCAGCTCGGCAAAGAACTCAAGCTCTTCCTCAACACCGAAGTCCTCAGACATTTTTCTTTCGTTGTTTCTTTCTTTGCACAGGTAAACAGCACATTTCTTCTTCTACGCTTGCATT